TGGTCTGTTGTTGTGAGTTGTAAGTGATTTGTAAATGCACTGCATATAAAATTGGCAATTATCTTATCACACATACTAATGCCCTTTATTGAGCTAATGCTAACTTCCTATTTCTTTGTTATTGCTTTCATCCTTAGAAAGGGAGAATATAGTGTAAACAAGAGATACAGTCAAAAATGTTCTAGAGAATATATCAAGACTGAAATAAGTTTTTCTGGTAGGACAACAAGTAGTATTGGTTGAGTAAGAACAAAGACCAGTAGAACAAGTACAACAATCGGACCAATAAAGGCATCAACATGGTAATGACAAACATATCCTAGAAGAATTGAGGTAAATAAGGGAGGTAATATCCTTAAAGAGAAAATGCTTCAGCATAAGAAAGAAATAAAAAGGTACTAAAAATTGAATAGGTCATTAAACCGGTCAAGATAAGGGATTAAGGATTAATGGTTCAACTGTTAATTTGGAGTCAGGCCGGTCTTAATTAAAATAATTTGACTTAATTTATATAAATAAAAATATGAATTTGAATATGAAAAATGAATATTTAAATAAATGACAATATTCATTTAAAGACATAAAATTTATAATTTTTCTTTTAAATTTTTAAAATTAATAATTTAGTAGTTTTCTAAAAGAATAATTTAACATATTTCATTTACCTTCCCCATTTTCTACTGCTATGGACTAAACAAATAAGAAATCCTAAAAATTAAAAAATAAAGTATTTTAATTTTTACAAACCAAGATTTTATCATTTAGAAATGAAAAAATAAAATGAAATAGTATTAATGTTTTGCATTAGAATTAATTAAATTAAATACAGTAGTAATTTGTTAAAGAAAAATTCAAAACAAAAGATACACACTTACCGAAATATGCTCCCAACTTCCAAGATATTAGTGTAAATAATAATATTTTATTATTATCTTGTCAGGCTTTTCACTCACCCACAATTGATCTTATTTTTTTCCTTAATTATGTAAAAAATTGAAAAATCCCGAAAGTAAGTTAGGAAACATATGTCAATCGGTTATCTTTTATTTTTTACAATCTAAAAAATCAAGCCGGAAAACTTCTCTCTTGATTTTTTCTATTAGATCTGCAGTTTTTTCATATTCTATCTTCCTTTCCATTGTAGATTTGTAACAAAAATGGTAGATAGATGGATCTAAAAGAGTAAGGGCTTTTAACTTTTTATATCTTGTTCTTCTTTTTCCACTTCTTCATCATTGTTTCTTTCCCTATCTTCCTTCTTCATCGTATCGTTTCTTTTCTTCTTCCTTCATCTCTTCCTATTTCTTCTTCCGATCGTCAACTTCTTTTTTGTTTTTTTTTTTAAATTTTCAACCAACCCAGTGAACCAAAGTGAAGTTGCAACGTCGTTTTGGGGGGTTTTGCTAGCAAAAATGTAACTTGACCAACTCGCCTAACCCATCAGGTTAGCTAAGTTATCCTAGGTTGGCCGCATTACACCAAGTCAATCCTAGATTGGTTGAAGTGGAAAACCAAACTAGGAAAGAGGCTACTTCACCATATCACAAGTTGAACCGGCTAGTCTAGTTTGATTTTCCATTCAATGAGAAATAGAAAGAATTAGCATGAGAAGAACTATAACCATAACAGTGATAAGGGCTCGAGCGCACAACTATATCTTGCCACCCCTAACACTAGAGTGACTTACTCTTCCTTAGGATAAGGCTGTGAGAAGAAGTGGAAAGGGAAGAGTCAAAAGGGCAATAAAGTGGCAAGTTTGGGTTAGTGGCAAATTATACGAGGGGGACAATCGTAAACCACGAGAAAATGCTAGCACCCCTGTACCCATTATTGCTTGTTCAATTTGTAGGAAGCACACAAAAAGGAATGATGGAAATTTTTTAAGTATGGGAAATGTGGGCATATTGCTCAATTCTACACAGGAGACAAGCAACCTTCCCGAAAGGCTAGTATTGTTATGGCTAGTAGGATGTTTCTTTTCTCTTGGTAGAAAATTGGCCTAGTGTTACATGTGCTTTAAGGTATATATGCCCACTTGATGAATTAATTTGATATTGTGAATAGTACAAAAAGGACTAGGAATTGGATTATTGATAACGAATTGAAAATTTTATTAAGTTGCAAGTTGTCATCAAGTGATATCATTTTTGTTTTAAGGTCTTAGAGTTGGGATGATATTAAGGAAATACTAGAAATTGGCTCCTAATCTTGTTAGGAATTAGAGTTCCCAAAGAGGGGTAAAGCAAATGGTTAATAGTATGTATGCTAATTTTGTGCATGCAAAGAGATTGATAAGGGATTCTAGTGTCATTAAGTCGAGGAGACCCACTAGAACATTGAGGATAGAAAGATATGGCAACTATAGGATAGGATAGTAGATGTTATAATGAATAACATGATGAGTAAGACTAAAAAATTGAGCTTAAAAGCCAATGTACCCCAAACATAGGAAACTAACAATGGGGCATACGGGTTCCTTTAGAGGACACAAGTTAAAGTGTTGGCAAGAGATTGTAAGTAAGTTAGTACTATGATTACCTGGTGAGTTATGGTTAAGTTGTGAATTAGTAAAGGCAACATTACAAAGGTAAACTAGTCCAAGTCCTAATAAGCCATTCATTGTGTCCAATTGAGGGCATACCACATGGTAAGAATTTCATATTTGCACAAATAGCCTCCCACTTTCCATCCCAAACATAAACAAGTTATGCATAAAAGATTTCCAAACAAATAAAATTTCCAAACAATTAAGTGAGCTTCCAAAAACAAGAGATTCAAACTAGACATAATCATAAGGAAATTTTCATCCTACTAGCAATACATTTTTCAAACAATAAGTATGCATTTTTCCAAACATAATATTTTCAAACAATAACTTTATTCAATAAAACACACGTAGCCAATCACACAACACACACTACAACATAAAAGTACAGGTTAACTTTGATCCTTGCAAACAAACTTCCCCTTACAAGTGTTCCTTCACTTCCAACAATGCTAACACTACAATCTACATATTATATAATACCAAACATAATTAATATTTGTGATTAAAAAATAATCACACTTTAATTTTAGGGTTAGGTAAATTAACCTCATAATTCCAAGCACTTTTCTATAAACCTACCCATCAAACTTAATCATTCTCATCATCATTAGACTTAAACATCAATTATTTCACTTTTAAACTATTAATAAATACTGTCATTAGCTTAATCTCACCCAAAACAACTTTAAGGTTTTAGATTTAAGCATCTCATAGTCATAAATATAATCAAAACTACCTAAAAAACACTCTTTTAACCTCAAAACAACCTTAAGATTTGTACTAATTAGATGGAACCTAAGTTTATCACAAACCCTAATACTTTTCTCTTCTTAAACAAGCTTAGAATAGATATTAGAGGATAGGAGGGAGATTAGACGGGTTACCTTAATGATTTAGAGCCCCAAACACATGTAGAATTGATGCCTTTTAGCAAACCCTAATAGAGAGCCTTCAAAATCGCACCAAAACCCCTTAGTTCCTCTCCCCACAAATTCTATGTTACGACCCATAATAAATTCTACTTTGTATGGCTATGCGCTAACGGATTATGTGCATCAGAGGCATCAATGTAAACCTAGACTATTGGGCCTAATCCAATTCAATGCTCATTTTAAACCCCAAATAACTCTCCTACATGAAACTAGGCTCAATTTTAATCATAATGTAATGCCTAAATAATCAATTTATCTCAACAAACTTCTATCACCATTTATTCCTTAGGTAAAAACCTCAATTTCACAATACTCCTAATTAAAATTCTCAATTTGAAATTTAGGGTGTTACATAAACCTCCATTCCTATTTTCTAATGTCACTTTTGATCTCTTGGAGTTTTCACGGCAATAGCAACATTTTTTGCTTTCTGGTTATGTTTTTAAGGCTTGGAATGGTCTTGGTAGCGTCGTTTCTTTTATTTCTTTGTATCATTTTGTAGTGGGTTTAGGTTTTTTTATTGTGTTGTTTCTCTTATTTGTATTTTATTCATTGTCCTTGGTTTATCTTGTAAATCCTTTGGTTCTTAATGATATTTCATGTTTTAGGCAAACCAAAAAAAAAAAAATTTAAATAATATCATCGACATCAATATCAATATTCATACAAAGAATTGAAGTCAAGAATCATTTGGTTCAATGATATAAACCTTGCCCTTGCAAAAGGGGTTGTGAGCTTTTTTCCCTATAGACCCAAACTGGGTAGGGCTTTAGATTATGCAGGTGGGCATGGCCGTGTGGGTTAGCTAAATATTGTGTTGTGTGTTGGAAAATAGAGTTGGGATGATATATTTACCTCTTAAGTATTCAAGTAAGTTTGCTAATATATATATATTCACGTAAGAGCATGTATCTTAAATTTTTTTCATAGTACATGTTGTCTTTCAATAGTTAAAAACAATACAATATTATCCTTATTATCAACAAAAGTTAATTTTAATGGATTCCAAAAATTACAAAAAATAATATAAAAGTTACAAAAATGAATTCAAAAAATTAAAAGTATCCTATAAAAAAATTAACATTATTTAACTCTCTTAAATTATGAATAAATACCAAGAAACAAATATAATTTTTTACTATGTAAAAGATTAAAATACTGTTTTAACAAGCTATTAGATGATTATCAAATCATTATCATTGGCAAAATATTGACAATTAAAGAAAAATATTATTATTTTAATAATATCTTATTAAAACATTAACCCTTTAATATTTGATAATATTTACTTGTGATACTGCGAGCAATGATAATCTAATAATAAATCAAATTGATTACTTAAAATGATATTTTAATATTTTATATAGGCAAGAAATTACATTAGTCTTTTGAAATTTATTTATAATTTAAAAAACTTAATTAATATTAATTTTCTTGTAGGATCCTTTAATATAATTTTTAAAATCATTTTCTATAATTTTTTTGAGTTGACTAAAAATCAAACATAATATCTTAACCTATTTAACGGTAAGATCAAAATTACACTGTTTTTAAATAACATTACACCACCAAAAAAAAAATTAAGATACCATAGGTTCTTACACAAAAAGTTAAGAACAAAAATACCTTTTAACCCTAATCATACTTGGCACAATAAGAATCCCTAATAAGAATCATTTACTTTTATTTATTTTTTCAATCCATTTCATTCTTTTCTAATAACCTAAAAGACTCCAAGCATCTCTTCTTTTAATGCTTTTGGTAAATCCTTCTGAAAATTCTTGCACCTTCCAATTCTGCATGAATCTCTCTCTCAGTCCTTATTCCCATGGGGTTGCTTAACAACCATCCTTCACTGTCACACAACACGCTTGGGTTCACAGCATCAATGTGTTGAAGTGCTTCAACTACATCAAACTGATTTCTCATGTCAATTGCCACTTCAAGAACATCAGATTGTATAAGAACCTGGTGAGACACAACCCCAGACCTGATTTTAAGCCAGAAATTCAGCAAATAACTGAAAATTTTCAATCGTTGAAAATCGTATTGATGAAATATGGAAATTTTTTTTTTTTTTTGCCTAAATGAAATATAGAATAATGCTTAATTAAGATAATTAAAGATATTAATGTTATATATTAGAGATATTTAAATAAAGATATTTAAATATTAGAATTAGGATTTATTATTATGTTAGATTTATTTGTCTTAAATAAAATAGGATATTAGCATCCTATCAATATCTTTTAAAATAATGCAAACTCCCTACATCACATATCCTCAAGGGCATGTTTGGTATATCAATACAAAGTGCATGTTATTCCCTAATGCAAAATGCACCATGTCTACTCTTGTGGTGGTCTCATATGGAACAAACAAGACAACTAATTAAAGGCTTCTCCAAGTATCGTGGATATCACCCAAGTGCAGCTGCTGAACTTATAGGTACCCTAAAAGGACTTACTATCTATTAGGCTGAAAAGTTTAACAAAGTCAATATGTACTCTAATTTAACTGAAGCTCTATCAGTAATTCACAATAAGTTCTCTACCAATCACCCTCTTTTTGCTACTATCAACGATATCAGAGATCTTATTATGTGAGATTGGACTATTACCTTTGATCACATTTTTAGAGAAGCAAACACTTGCGCTGACTGGTTGACCCACTAAGCCTCTATCAGTAATTTCAATGTACTTATTTTTGACACTACGCCCTTTAGTTGTAGGAATTTTTTGTACGCTAACATGACTCAACATGTCAGTTAGCATGGTCTTTCCGTGGCCTCCCATTCAAAGAAAAAAATATATATCTGACTCCTTCAGTTACTTTTATTAATAAGAATGCAAGGCTCATTTTCTCTGATTTTTTTTTAATTTCATTTCCCTTTTCATATCTTATGGTTTTGTTTCCGTTCACCGTTTTCTTATAGCATATGATATAAAAATAAAAGGGGGAAGAAAAGGGGAACATGTACAGTAATGGGAATGAAAACCATATTTGAATCGTCAAATTTTCTCATCAATGCAGATATAAGCTGAACCATGTTCAATAAGAAATTCAAATGAAGAATAGCATTATCTCGTTAGGTGAGATCCATTTTATCAATAAAAATTAAAAAGTCATCTCAGCATCTATAAAGAAGGAAGAAAGAGATGATTTTCCATGAAAAATGTCCAGATACACTACACTACAGTCATAGTTTTCATGTCAGCACAGACGAAAGTGTAGGATTCCTCATAAACTATGATCTCTTTACTCCACACCAGTGACAGAACACTCTTCCCACTAGATTTAAACTCAAATTAAAAAAAGAATAGTGCTAATCCACATGTTCTCAACCAGAAATGGAAACAGATCCCACTTCAATCAGCCAGATCTAAGGAGAGGGATATGATCAAACACAGGACATAGAAGAGTCTCTTTAATCAATCTGGGGAAAAAAAATCCTTCCACACAGAAGTCACCAAGAATATCTTATCAAAAAAGTGAGTTAAACATTTATTAGAAGGCATCACTCGTAAATCACAATCTCAAATAAAATAACCAAAATCTCCCACAACAAGAGCATTTGAGTAAGGGTGTCCTTGCAACTTCATTTCTCTCCCAGATTTATCTAACAGTTAAAAACTAAGTTTAGCATGGAAAGTTTGTGGGTCTTGGACTCTCAGATGTCCATCTCACTCCCTCAATGACTCAAGTGAATTAACTTTTCCTAAGCCATCACTTTCCTTCCCAATTTTATCCTCCTTTTCCACTTGAAAGCACTCATTTGCAATCCATACCTAACCCTTTCAACCTACAAAGTTGTTCTTCACTAATAACTGATCCCCTGCCTTCCCATAACACCCAGAAAAAAAAAGTAATGAAAAATCACCAAAATAGCTACAACTCACACTACAACATTTTTGGTCTTTGGCAACAGACAAAAACTCATTTTCAAATATTACAGTGAATGGCAGTGTGATCTTCAATCATACATTATTTACTGAGCATGTGAGACAAGAGTCAGAGAATAATTCCGATAAATTAATGCCTAATACATGACAACAAATAATTTTCATGCAAAATCATTCAAGACACAAGTAATTTTGACAGGAAGCTATTTACTGAACCACTGGATAAACCATGTGTAGCACACAATTATAAGGAATCATGCAAGACACACGAAAACACGCACATATATACCTGTCCCCCTGGCATCATCGTCTCTACAATAGCACCAACCAAAGGCTTCTGCAAAACTCTTCTTTTATGATGTCTCTTCTTGAAATGTGGGTCTGGGCACTGCATTGATGGAAAAATTATAAGATTGCAAATAAAAAGAATTTCAACGTAAGTTCTTCACCAAAATATTTTGGACGAAAGCATTCTAGATGTAAATATACGGAGTCAAATTGATCCTAGGATGAGGAGATACTCACCAAAATCGAAACAAACATCAGTGGCCCAGGATATGATGTAACCAAATGCTTGAAGGAAATTGTGGCATTTGCAAACAAGAAATGACTGCATTTCATTCAAACAGTCAATTACTCAAAAGTTAAGCATCTCCTTTTGCTAAATCACCATTGGGATAAAGTTATGGTTGGTACATGTTTTTAAGAGCCAAATCTTTTACCCATACCTCAGCACGCTTGACCAACTGCACATGAATGGAATACATTACAATACGTTATATTTGGAGCTAAAGGTGAAATAGCGGATCAACAACTAAAATCATTTACAAGGAAGAAATCATCAAAAGAATTCATAGCAGAAGTATATTCATTAAAAACAAAAAATGTCCTTACCTTTTGCCTTATTTCCAACCCCAAATAATTTCTTACTCCAGGATTTCGTTTAGCAAGCCATAAAAGAAGCCTACCACTACCTGAGAATACTTACAAATTTTAGATGCACAGAAACAACAATGGAAACAATTTGCCTTCCAAGTACTGACATGATGATTTAATTACTGGAAAAAAAGTTGAAATTGCTTATGATGAGAAGAAAATTAACAAAATGATAAACAGCTAGCCCAATATATCAGAAGAGGGGAAAATACCAACTTTACAATCTATCATATAAGCATAGATGGCATAGGCATCAGTCCACAACATGCATACTAAGCACCACTTCAAATTACTAATAATTAACAAGGAGCGATGCTGCAAGCAAATTTTATCACAGAAGCAAACAAGTTACCACATCCGATGTCAACCATGAGTGGTAATGTTGGGTCCCTGAACACTTGGTTCCAGTCTGGAGCTTGTGTAGGTACCTATCAAGAAATAGAAACAATAAAAAATTGAATCCCATACCAAGGAAATAAAGTAAGAATCCAGCTAAACTCCTATGATATGGGCCAATTTCAATAGAATTATTGGAGGGTCCCAATGGCATGTATCTTGTAGGAAATGAATATAACAAGTCGCAAATTATGAGTTGGACGCTATGACCATTCAGCTAACGATGACTGACTAGCAAGTTTCCTTGCACATGTTGAATAATCAAATTCTAATTGAAATAAAATTTTTAGGGTTAATCAATGCAATTTAGAAGCAGTAAACAAGAGCATATCATTTGCAATCTTGAATTCAAATTAAGAAAAATCAAGAATCTTCAATATTTCTTATTCATTCAGATACAAGACTGCTGCATTTCCCCAATTTGAAGTCCTACGTCATGTAGCTACAGCGTTCAACAATCCATGTAAAACCCCAGAGTGCTTATGTGTGTATTGCAGACATGTATGTATGATAGGTTTACTGGGTCATTTAGGTTGACACAGTATACCTTTACATTCAAATTAGAATTGTTTCAATATCTCGACACCTAACATGAAAAACAATTTATTGACTTTTAATCTCATTTTTTACTTTTTAAAATATGAGTCGGTATACCTCTTGGAAGCTACTTATATGAAAATCATAAATGACTATAAAATCAGCCAAAAATATAATGGAAAGGATTGCTGGAGTTTACGAAAGAACATACAGAGAAAGAGGAACTAAGGGGATTGACATGTTGCCTGATTCTCACATGACCCAAGTCCTGCGTTGGATATGTAGCAAAACAACAAAATATTAACCCTGAAGTCATTTAAAAAAACAGAGAGAATCAAAGGAAAAAAAAAACCCCCCTCCGATCTCAACAAAATTAAGATAAAGATAAAATTACCAACTTGTACGAAAGATTAAGATCTGCATACTCCAATGCCACCAGTTCGGGGCTATTGAAATGCTCCTTATTATAGTGCTTTTCTGCTACTTCAGCAACAGGAACATCTCTGCCGCTACAGTAACAGTGTGAATGATAACGAAGCGAGGACGGAGGATGAAGAGAAAGCGAAGTTTGTAGTATTAGCGACGAAAGAGCGACCCTCGCAGCCCTGCGCGGCAAAGAAGCAGCTGAGCTACCATGGGTAGTGTAGTTGTGTAGCTGTAACAAACGAGATGAAGCCATTAGCTATTATTGGCACTACCATTGAACTGAAGTTCTTGTCTTCCAAAATTTTCTTTTTGAACATGAATCATTTATTTGAATAAATTTAATTTATCTTGATTTTAAAAAAAAAAAAAAAAAAAAGAACAACAACAACAATAACAGCAATAATAATACGTAACCCGACCCGCTAATTTGGGCCACCGCCTTTCTTGCCCAAAATAAAAAATCGAGAGTCCAGCAGCCCCGATTTCTGAACCCGGTCCAGCCTGGTCTGTTGAAATTACAATTATGCTCTTCACTATCTTCCGACCGATTAAAATTTGTTGCCTTGCTTTTCTGTTTACCCTCTCCGTTCAAAGCTTGGTGGTAGCAGCTCTGTCGATATTCTATCCAAGCCATCTCAGCTAGAGCTCATCAATCGATTTCCCATACTTTCTCCTGCATAGTTCAAGTAATATTGTTTATAGCATGAAAATTCAGGTTAACCCATTTGATTAAACCATTAAATTCTTAAATTATTGTTTTGATACAATTTGACTATACTTTTGATTATTGATTTTTAAACTAATGTCTTGACTGATCTAATAAACGATTCAATTTTTAATACTTTAACTATTTTCTTGTTTCATGTACACTTTTTGAAGACTTTTTTCTTCTAAACTAAAAGAACCATAGATTTCTTTTGAGTCTTATTAATATAGCATGGAAATTTAGGTTAACTTGTCTGATTAAATCGTTAAACTAATATCTTGACTAGTTCAATAAAATGATCAGCTTATATGATTCAAGTATAATTTTAATCATTAATTTTTGAGCCACTATGTTGACTGGTTCAATGATCAATTCAATTTTCAATACCTTATTAATTAAAACTAGACATGGCTCATTGTTATTTTCAAGACCTACACAAGTTTCTGGCTCATTGTTATTTTCAAGACCTACACAAGTTTCTATTAAAACAGAGTAAGTTACACATACTTCTTTTGAGTTTCACTTAACTATACAATTATCTCTTATATTTTCAGGAGAATTTATGCATGCTTATTTTGAGTTCTTATTAATATTTTTTTTATTATTATTATTTTGGATTTACTGACAAGAGAGTATTTTACATTCAAAGAATTCAAATCTTAATTCTTATATATGTAACGATTTAATTGGGAGAAGTCTATCATTTACTATTAATATCTCATGAAGGTAAGTTAGTTTGTTACTAAGGACCTACTTATGCTCATCATTAAAAAAAAAAGTATTTTATATTCACAATTATTTTTTGGCTCAACTTTCTGATTGATCTCATTTTGAGTATCAAGATGTAGTTTACTACTCCCTCCGTTTAAAAATATAAAATATTTTTTAATGAATTAGATGTTAAAAAATTTAAGACATTTTTAGTCTTTTAGGCCATGTTTGGTAGTATCGAATTGGCAAGGTGGAAATGAAATCAAAGATGGAATCCTAATTTAAACATGATTGATATGTAAGAGTTGTAATTCCTAAGAATCCTAATTCTACCAAAAATGTGAGAATCCAATTCCATCATATTGACCATGGAATTGCTTCAATTCCCTTGAATTCAATTTGTGGACCCCTATTATCCTCATCTTTTTTGTCCATTTATAACAAGATAGGTTTTTTTAATTTGAAAAAAAGGCAATTTAGTCTTTTCCTATTTTAAGTACATATATAAATTAATATTATATTAGAATTCCATCTTCATATCAAACACACTTTTAAAACTCAATTCTATTCCGATTCTAATTCTGATTCCAATTCCGATTTCGATTCCAATTTCATTAAAAACTCTTTCATTATACCAAACGAGAAAGGTATAATCATTACCTTTTTTTTTTCCTTAAAAGTGCCCTATTGATAATGACTTTATATTTATTGTAGGATGTTTAATAGGAATAAATATAAAAAGATAGAATTAATTTGAAAATAAGTAACTACTTTATTGAGAGATTAAATTCAGTTAAAAATTTCTTACATTTTTAAACGAATGGAGTATTTACTACTTTTATAACCGTACATTGCTTTTAAATATGGAGAAGAGGTGTAACACACTGGGATTTGATTCTTGGGTGCCATAGTTTGCTTAGTTGAGAGTGAACTGTTGATCTCAGTTACATCCATAGAGGAGAAAATATGAAAGCTGATCAACTTGCGAAACATGCTCTCGGAATACCCTTTGGTCTTCACTTTCTGCCCTGGGAAGGAGCATTGTTCTTTCGCTATTTGTAATGTAAGGTTGTTTTTGTTGTTTTCTTTGTTTAGCCGCGCCCCCCGCCCCACAACAACCCCCCCAAAAATTAAAAACGGGTTCAAGGCGGAATGGAGGCTGTAATTAAACATCATTAGAATTAATGGAATTGCAAATTTAGATTTTTATATCCCCATAAAAGCTCTAGACTAATGGTTATTCATATTTGCAAGTATCTAAAAACTAGCAATATCTTACTAGATCAGGAAATGAACCCCCAAAAAAATAAAATCATATTTTGAATTAGCAAGAACTTTTGGAGGCACTCATAGGCAAGTAGATAGATCAACATCCAACAATGTCAAGTGTTATACTTAAGCTTGCAAGTGACTCACTGAACCTTCCAAAAGCCAACACAAGGTGCACTTTCACTTCTCCATCAATGGAGTATCAATTTCTGAAGTTGATTTTTTTTAATATGAGGCAAATTTATATTAAAAAATAAAAAAGAAATACAAATATATAAAAAATTAAAAACTAAAAATCTGACATGGGAGACAGGTGTTAGCAATTAAACAAGAAAGAAAAAGGCGCAAAAAAAGAAAGAAAGTTCCTAATGTCCTCATCGATGTCAAAATGCGAGCACCATGCAGAATTTAGCTGAAAGAAGAATTTCTGAAGTTGATTACAAAGAACTAGGTAAAACTTTTTTGCTAAGATTTTAATGGGATGGATGAAATTAGCATGCAAGTAAGAGAAATTTTATTTTATTTTTGTGTGCAAAAAATATGAATTAGAAAACATTATTTTTTATCATTTCTTACAAAGTAGATTACACAGATATTACTTGAATCTTGTTCAAACTATAAAAACATGCTCTTTAGAAATTAGACAAGGCATCCTCAAAAAAAAATTACACAAATTCATCTGATTTTGCACTTAAAAAAATAAATAAATAAAGACACAGTACGAGCTGTTCTTCTAGCTTGACAAACAAACTGGCACCAAAATGCTATGTTGGGAATTCCTGAACTTGAATCATACAAATGTTTTAAATTAGACAATGTCAGATTACTTCCTTCCCCGGTTAAGCCTCTGCAGCTGATAATTGACACTTCCCCAGGCGTTTCTATTCTTTTTACTCTGAAACAAACAAGAGTCAGAAATTTTTCATACTCCTTAGTTCTCCTATAACATGATTTCACACACACGCGCACTTACTTTTTGAAAAAATAAGGATCGAAAAAGGAAGAATGGATAAGAAGGAGAATGAACAAACATGCTTTCCTGAAAACAAAAACATCTATATTACCTGTGAATCCAAACAGGTTTTTAATAAATCCTTCTGTCGAGTACACACATCACTGTTGGCTTGGTTAACAGCCATACAGCTGAGAAAAGTCATCATTTCCTTCATGCAAGGTTTATGAAGTGAACCATATCTCTTAGGGTTAATGTAAAGTCCACCAGCTTTCCGCCCCATTATCCTGCAATTCAAACATCGCAATTCACCATGAAAATGTTAATAGCATTAAGATTTACATAGAAAGAAATATGTAAGCAAGTATTGAAGACACGAATTACAAATGTCAACATCAACTCAATAATACAAGTCTAATCCTCACTTCTCATGCCACTAAGGAATATTAATTCGACATGAGGAATAATGCAGGTGCAATTTTATGATCCCCAGATGCTAGCAAAGGAAACACTCATCCATAGACTAGAATATGCCCCAAGGACGTAACTGATTTTTGGTTGATTTGAATTAATTTCCCCCTCTTGATTAAAAATAGAGAGGGAGAGAGAGACACTAATCCATGGCTTCCTTTCTTTCTTTTCCCTTCTTTGTTTAGAGTCCATGTCACCGAATTGAAATATAACGTCTATGAGCAAAATTTTAAAATCCTGTTTTGATGCATTCAATATGATATAACAAAAATGAGATCCATCTGGGATATTCATATAAATTAAAATAAATAAAAACTATGATATAAATTAAAGCGTGATTTTAAGACTTATCAACCATAAGCACAACTCCGCATTCAGTTTCTTATCCAAGTGTACGGAGGGAAAATGATCTACCATCAAACACTATGGGTCATTGTTTACTCAATAAGACGCCTTCTCCAAGTTCTACTCAGGTTTGGAAAAGATAAGATTAGCGAGGGGCATTCAATATTGTTTTGTTGGGGGGGGGGGGTTTAGATGGGACACATCATTTGGAGAAAATGACACTGTAATGCATAATAAATGGATGCTTAGGAATTGAATGAGAAAGGGGTACAATTAAAGTGACTGGTATTTGAAAGCTTCTAACTGATTTATAGATGGATTTAGAAAAGATGAAATGTACAGGTTTAGAACAGAGCAAGCTACCTTAATAAGGTTCAATAGAACAAGTTAGATCAATGAAGACGGCAATGGAACTAGTTGCAGAGTGCTTGACTAACAATGATGGGGTGCCTGAAGGCAGCTGATAGCCAGACGCACTGCTGGTCGAGAAGACGGCAAAGGAAAAAATTGATGAGTTAAAGAATGATGAAAAGTCGTTTGTTAGGCTTGACAAAGTATAAAAGTTGCGTCTGTGTTATTTACAAATTTGTGATTAATGAAAACAATGAAAAGCCCCTCTTCCACAATTCTATAGAACAAAATGTTAGAAAACATCAAAATTAAGGCTCTGTTTGATTGGGCATTCAATTTTTGTTTTTAAAAACCATTTTATAAGACAACTTTAAAAAACTACTTTTGAAAACAAAACAAAAATAAAATCTATTCAGAAATGTTAATTTGGAAACAGTTTCAGAGTTAGGGGGAAAACCTGCTTGGTATAGTTTGTTTTGAGGACAGGTTTTGAGAATAAGAAAATTAGGAAAAAAAATTAAATGAATTACTTTAAGTAAAGAACTTAGAAATATTTTATAAAACGTTATAGAATAGATTAAAGGCAATCATATTAATAAACTAAGTAACAAAAAGGGCACTTCAATCATAACCCTGCAGCAGCTTAACTAATAGACATTAAACATAAACTTGTTTGGGTTAATGCAATAAACAAATAAAACAGGTATTGGCAGAGATAATAGGGACATATACACTCAAGATTCTGCAAGCCTCCTATATTTTTTGTCCTCTGCTTTAGTATATATGAAACTAAATATTCTTATCCTATAATTTCTGTCCATGCATGCAATTACACAATCAAGATTAGCATCATGTACCATTATGATTATGCAATTAGCGGATATAACACTTTCTCATCATAGTTATCACTGGTTAGAAACCAGCATCAAAACCACAAGAAGAGTAAGCAGAAATAAAAGACAATGCTGTCAACAAAGTGGCCAATGAGTGCGCAACGTTATCAGTGAAATTGTGAGACTATGAAGCAAGATACTTTAACTGAGATCCCATTCTAAGTAGTTTGAGGCTTCCATTCTAAATCTCTCGAACAAAACACAGAATTCTTCCCAAGCATAGAAGAAAATGCAGACTAGACGAAAACATTTACAGCTGCTTCACCCAAAGAAGATGCTCGCTTTCCAATAAAAGAAAATAGCCGATAATGGGAAAATTTAATACAAATACTTTGAATAGACAAGAAAGGAACACAAATGGATGAAGTTTATAAGCAAACACAGATGAAGGAGAAATAAATTCAAACACACACTCGATACAGCTACTTCATCACCAAACTAAAATAGATGAGGCATAAAAGGCTTCACAAAGAAAGATCGAATCCTGAGAGATAAAAGGGATGACCGGCGAGGGAGATGAAGGTTGAGAGTGAAAGAGAGAGAGAGTAATTCACGGAAGAAGATGAAGACGAAACTGAGAGTGAGTGAGAGCGCCAAGCACCTGAGAGCGGTGAAAGAGTGGCGAGGACAAGGACCGGCGAGCAGTGAGAGACAGAGCGAGAGAGGCGAGAGAGTAGAGACAAGTGAGCAATAGAGAGACTACGGCGAGAGTTCTGCCAACGAGCAGCGAGTGTTCCAACGGAAACCTAATGCCAGATAATTACAAATTTGCCATTGACAATATTTTGTTAAAATAAAAATAATTTTAAAGATAAAATAGGACTAGTTTTGAAAATCAGTTAAAAATTAAAAATCCGTTATTTTTATTGTTACCATTATAAGAAGGTTTTTATTTTTTTTTAAATAGAAATCAAACAGATCACTATTTTTTTCATTTGTCAGAAATTATTGTTTAGTTTTTAAGAATATTTTACTAAATATAGGTTTAAATGCCTTTCGTTTATGCATTTTTGTCATGTTAATTTTTCAATTTTAATATAAATTTAATTAATTATTTGATGAGCCACAAAGATAAGTTGTAGCAACCCTCATCAAACGTTGGTCTCACAATAACAATAATGCAAGAAAATTAATTAATTGGTCTCTGTAATTTTGACTTAATTAAAACACAATCTTTATGTTTTTTATTAGGTTAAAAAGCAATCATAACATCTTAGTGGCTATCTTACAACTTTGACTCATACAACTTAATCCCTATAATTTTATCTATTTAAAAAGTTAATCCCTACATCTTAAAAATAAAATTATAAAGAGTAAAATTCTTATTAAAGCTTAGCTATTAATATTTTAATGTTTTAAATTGTTAAAACTATAAGGACTTAGTTATATTGAATTAAAGTTTAAGAATTAAATTATAATTAAATTCAACTATAAGAACCAAAGGTATGTTTAGATTAGAAATTGCAAAACTGAAATTAAAATAAATTGAGATTTGCAATCTAAAATTAAGATAAAAGTCAATAATTATAATGTGATTAATGTTTGGATGGGCTTCTAAATTTTACATACAGCTAAAGCCAAAGGCTTATAGTTTCAACTTTCATGTAAATGGTCTTGACCAAAAGCTCTTTTGACTACTCCCTCCATTTAAAAATGTAAGGTATTTTTAATTGAATCTCACATCTAATAAAATAGTTACTTACTTTCAAACTAACCCTATCATTCTATATTTACCCTTATTAGACACCCTACAATGAATATAAAGTCATTCATCAAAAGGGATATTTTTGAAAAAAAGTAATAATTACATCTTGAAAGACTAAAAATGTTTTATATTTTTTAATATCTAACTCCTCAAAAATTACCTTACATTTTTTAAATGGAAGGAATATGTTTTATCCTAATAACCTTTTAGGCTTTCCGATGAGCTTTGGATCCAAACCTTAGTTTGAATTTTATCTAAATATATATATGACTAGAATTGTATTAAATTAAAGTTTAAAAATTCAGCTATAGTGAAATCAAAAGCATAGAAATCAGATGGTAATTTTTTTTTTCAATAATATACTACTACAAGTGATTTAGAGTAAAAACAGGAAAGGAGGTCTGTAAAAGGCCTAGCTAGGTCTATTCTTTTTTTTTTTCAGAAAAAAGGTGAAATGTAGACTTATGATTTGGCTTATTTAAATAAATAAATTAAAACTCAAATTATATTATATGTAAGAGTTAATATGAAAAATATTCATAAAATATTTTAAGAGGAGCTGTTGGCATCCTTAACTCAAGTATAGTAGAATTTACCCATCAACTCTGAAAAAAGGTGCAAAAATCTCAAACTTATAACAAAGTAAGGTCTGTGGGTTCCATTAAGTAAGATTATGGGTTTCACATGGTATGTCACATGTAAATGAGTTAGAGGCAAAAATATATATAGGGTACTACTACCAGTGCAATTTTGCCCATAAATCCTAAAATATGCAAAAAAACCCCAATTTGTAACAAATATACTTGTTAGCAAACATTGACCATGTGTAACATCGTAAGAATTTAATTAGGATTAATTAAATTAATTAAGGACAAAATGGTGAAATAATGAGGTAATTAAGCCAAATGTAATTGGGGATCACTAATGGGCTCAATTGGACTCTTAAATGGCATTGGGTAGCGTTTAGAGGAATGATTGGGCAACTTTGGACCCAAGTAGATGGCACAATTTTGAGTTGGGCTGACTATGTCATCCACCATAACAAATGCATAATGATCTTGATCGTATGTTCTTTTTGAATAGTTTTGTCATGAATAAATATGTACTTTACGCAAATAGAACCTTATTTGAGTTTGATTATTGTTAAAACAAAGTATCCAACAATAATATGTTGAGCTTTTTTTCTTTTCAATGTTTTGTCTCTGTGGGTTTTCATAGAAAGGTTTTCAACGAGGAGCAATTATTTTTTCAAATATTAATGTTGGAATTGTCCTAATAAACAAATATGCAAGATTATCACATGAACAAATTTGTTGAACATCTATATCACCACCCTTCATTAGCTTTTCATCCCACTGAGTTTTCCTATTATAGTTTTAGTGATGAACAATATTTGTTTTAAACATTCAAGAGAGAGTATTATAAATATTGTATTGTGAATGTACATAAATCCTATCTTTTAGTATTATTTATTCTCAATGTTTTAAACCCATAACCTTTCTAAGAGTTATATATAGCCTTCCTAACAAATGACTTGAAAGGAATTTTATATAAGTAATACCTTATAACCTTCAAATTAAATGTTGCATAATGTGTTATTATATTCTTCTTTATTTGTTTACAATATTAGGATTAGACTTTAATGGTGGAAGGCTTGTAGCTCAGGTGAATTAGAAACACTCCTCCAGTGTTTTTTCTTTCCCCTTTCTTGTTTATTATTTTCTCTCTCTCTCCCTTACTAATGATATTTCTTTTATTTTTATAACAATAACTATTATTTAAAATTTGTTGACTATATCTCCTATCAAAGAAATGCGTTATCCCTGAATAATTCAAATTAAAATTAATGGAGGATAATCATGAATAAATATTAGATTCATTGAATTTTGGTTTGTTAAATATGTAAAAAAGAATATTAAAGTTCCATAAATACTTTGTAAAACCAATGAATCTAGCTTACTCCTATACAAATCATAACTTGTCAATTCAATCAAGACAGTAGCCCAAAATTTTGATACTAGTCATAAAACATGCATCAAAATGACTAACATGCATGAATCAAACAATTTAATGAACTAATTTACACATTTAAAAAAGAGCTTAAAATTTAAATTTGTTAAATTGAATAAATTTTTATTAAAGTTTGAGTCACATGTAAATGACCTATTCAACGTATAAATTTTATGACAAGTTTTCTAGAACTTTTAAATTAGTTCAAATAATGAATAATCCTTATTATTAGTTTGTCAAGGTATGACACATCACTTAGATATTTTTGTCCATTGTTAAATGGATTATTTATACATAATGTGAAGTCCAAGTAGTTTTTAAAAAATTGAATTTTAAAGGGTTCATTATCATGATGCATGTTTTGGTCCATTCCAGAAATAATAGACAAAGATTAAAAAAAAAAAAGAAGAAGAAGTTATTCATTATCATTTGAAACTTTATAAGAAGCATGATAGTAAAGTCTCTAAAAATTAAATTAATGACAATTAAACTTTTAATTTTTTTAAAAAATAAGTTGCAAATATCAATTTAAACAATTATAAACTAAAGATTGTATTATCTATAATTTAAATATTGTATTTGCTATTAGAACTTATGAATTTGCAATTATTTGAATTAAGATTTGCAATTTACTCTTCAAAAATTTTTATCGTGGACTTAATTATTATTAATTTGTTCTTTCGTGACTTAATTGTTATTCTCCCAACTGTATGCCAGGGTAATAATAATATAGGTTATCAACAAAAATTCAAAATATTTTTAATTCATAGGAGATCCTCAACTTTTGAAGATACAAAATATTATCCAGAATAATGTTGTGAAATTTTGATCCCACATGATGATTCAATTGGTCAAATGAATCTTAGGCTATGCTTGGTATGGTTGAAGAGTTTTTGATAAAATTAAAATTGAAATTGAAATTGAAATAAAATTTGATTTTGAGAGTGTGTTTGACACGACAATGAAATCCTTATATGATTTTAATAAAATATATGTATTTAAAATAGAAAAAGACTAAAATGTACTTTTCAAAAAATTTTAAAAAACTCATCCCCATAAGCCTAGCAACCCCATCCCTCCCCTTCTCAAAAATGCAACAATAGACACAACCAAAAGGCAACAATGAACCTAAAAAAACAAAACAACAATTTAGCAATAGTGAACTAGAATTGAAAAGTTGATAACACTAGAACTAGAAGCACAACTCCAAACTAATTCCAGCTCATTACCTTCATATGTTTCAGGCAAGATGCATCGTCAAATGGGTGGATGATATCATTCAAGATCTCAAATGACTGCGTTGTCGACCATGATGGTCACATCGTCCACTGATGAAGTTCCTTCCTTACGTTTCAGGCAAGCCTCCACTTGCTAACCTCAACAAGCTCCCCTAGACCAAGCAACCGCCAAATGGGCTGACAACATCACTCAAGATGTCAGATAAATGAGCCAAAGATCAAGTTGGATTGGGGATGTCAAAGGTAGGGAGAAGAGACAATAATGGGGTTGTGAGGGTGGCAAAAGTGTGACAAGAAGACAGAGGTGTGAGATCGAGATTGAAACGAAGTGGAGGGCATTGAGGTCTTTAGGGATGAATTCCATGGAATCCAACCAATTCCATAAAGCATGTGAGAGTATCAGATTCTGACATTTTTCCCAGAATTGAATTCCTTGGGAATCACAACTCTCGCCAACCAAATGCACTTGCATTAGATTCCACTTTTGATTTCGTTTTCTTCTTCCCAGTTTAATGATGCCAAACAAGGCCTTAGTATAATGTAGAACATCATTAAAATTAAGCTTTTTTAAGAATCGATTAAAATAGATGAAATCCTTTTTTTTTTTTATTTTCATCATATAACTTAACTTGATTTGGCTACGTTCAGATGAATATATCTATTGTTCCAGGTTTCAAAAATTGAATAAATTTTAAAAGCATTTATCAATATAGATTTTTCTTCAATTTAGTCTTCATTACTAATGACTAATTTGATAATTGACCACATAATACAAACAAATTCAACC